GGGACTCTCACTCTCGGCCTCAGTGGTTACTCCAGAGCCCAGAAAATGAGTCTTTGGGCTAAAACTAAAGGTGTGAACCAGCAAGTAAACGGAGGCGGGAGCGGGGCAACTCAGGGGGTTGGGGTGGGGATCCTTTTATGCTCCATAAGCAGCAGGGCCCAGGGCAGGATTAGCATCAGGCTTTTCTCTTGGTTGGCAACTTGGGGGATTTCCTCACTGTCCAAGACACTCAGTAAACATATTCCAGAGGCAAAGAGAAATAGTTGGTGGTCAGTTTATTCACCTGGCACAGGGTCTGGCAATTTTTAAATGGCTTTTGAATGGAGGAATATATGTTGAATTTTCTATGCCTGATAATTGATAGCTATCTGATAACAGACTCCATATAACAGACATCTGACTGAACAGACTGGTGTCTAAGTCAGCAGTCCTCCAAGGATGATCCCATTGTGACCTGCAGCATCAGCATCACCTGCAAACTTGTTAGAAAGGCAAATTTTGGGCCCCAGATCTACTGAGTCAGAAATTCAGCCATCTTGTTCTTTAACAAGTCACTGTTATGCGCTTTGAAAAGGTGGTTCTGATGAATGCTCCAATTGGAGAACCTCTAAGTGAAAGGCCTTTTAGGAGGGGAGTGTGATACTGCAGGGACTCTTCACTCTACAGAGCTCTTGGGCACCCCTCAATCCTCCCCAGGCCCCAGATCCTTTTCCCTCCATCCCTCAACCTCAGTTTCTTCCTGGAACCCTTGAGCCTCTTGGTTTCCAAACTGGGATTTCCTCATTGACCTGACTTTAGAGCTCCCTTCCCCACCACCGCCCCATCCCCTCACTGGCCCTGTTTATGCCAGCCCCCAACTTCTCAAAACCCTCTGAGTCCCCAGTCCCCACCCCAACCCAGACCCACCCCAGTGGCCCTGCCTTCAGCCCTGGCAACACACCCCTGCCTGTCTCCTTTCAGGACTGCAGGACCCTGCACCCCTCCTCAACTCAGCAGGAGGCTCAGGCCTCCTCGCCCTCGGGCCCCACGAGCAGCAGTGGCTGAGAGTTCTTGCCTTTGTCATGCCAGCACACATCGAAGAAGGGGTATACAGGCCCTGGTAGGCGCTCGTGGAAGGCAAAGAGCAGCTCAAGGGCATCCACGTCACTGGCATCATAGAAGGAGAGGACACCGTCGCTGAAGCTTAGGTAGACCCCAATGCGCATAGGCCGCCTCTCCAGGGTGCGCAGTGCACGCGGCTCCTTAGCTTCCACGTGCGCTTCCAGGATTTTCCCATCGCGCAGCGCGAGCAACCAGAGGCCCTGCGAGGGCACGGTATGTAGCCGGCCCCGGCGGTTGGCCTGGGCAGCGATCACGCCGAGCCCCCAGCGCGGCTTGTCGCCCACCTCCACCTCCCAGTAGTGCTCGCCGTCAGAGAGCAGCTGATGTGCAACCACCGCCACGGCCTTGTCGAACTGGCGCGGGTCCTCTCCCGCCGGCGGCGCCTTCTGCTCGGAGCACTCCACTCGGCGGCAGGACGACGACAGCACCAGGCTCGGGTGAGCTGTGCTCGGGTCAAAGGTCAGCGCCTTCAGCACTGCCAGAGGGAGACCAGTCAGGCCCCTGACTTTTCCCACAACCAACTTATGGGCTCCTTTGTCTCCTCTAATCCTCCCAGCCCCTCTAGGGGATGAACGACTCTCTGTTTACTGACTTCAACCAAAGACTGCAGCTCTCTGAGCTTCAGTTTCCTCAGCTGTAAAATGAGGCCATAATTGCCTCCTTCCAGGGTTGTGGGTGGATTAAGTTGATACAAGGCATATAACTCACCATGTATGTCACAAAATGGAAGACGGTCAGGAAGCCTGGTCTGAGGCCAGCCCCTGCCTCCTACCACTGTCATCTGTCAGTCTTGACCCATCTGTTAGTCTTCTCTTGGATAAAACATAGGTTTTATCCAAGGCAGTGAAGGCTGCACAGCCATGTGTATATGTCCTAGATCTCTATAACATGTAACACCCCAATGCACTCTAGCTCTTGGGGAGAGGAGGTTGAGCCCTTGGGCCACCAACCACAGGCCACCAGAATCAGTGTCTGACTCAGGCCAGTCCCCAGTTTTCTAGCTCTGCAGATCCTCAGCCCCCAATTAACAGAGATTATCATCTCCACGGTCCAGAAGGGACAGGGACTGGGCAAGGATCACACAGGGCTCAAACCCAGGCCCTAGTCTCCCCTGCTACCAGCAGCAGCACCCTTTCCGTAAGCAGTGTCCTCTCCATATTAGTCACCCACCTGTAAACCCCATGGTCTCAAAGTTCCTTCTCTTTGCACAGGTTTCAAGAGTGCAGGGGTATAGGGGCAATGGATACCTTCTTTGATAATCTTCCCAGCTGGGATTGGGAAACCTCTCTGTGTATGGCTGGGGCCTACCATCAACCATACAGCTACAAACATAAACCCAGAGTAAGCCCTGCCCAATACCTGGCATCAGAGCACGGAACATCTTCCTCCACACCTGGAATTTGAAGTCATCTGAGATGACAGGCAGCTGGATGTCCAGACGGGCAGGTGGTGGTGACTCTGCTAGGATCTTCTGCAGCCTAGAGGTGGTGAGGTGTGGGGAGGTATCTGTGAAGGGACTTCCAGAGGAGGCGTGGGGTGGGAGGAAAGCAACAGGCAGTAACCCAAGGAGAGGAAGACAGGGCTGTGGTGATGCTCCAGGATCTCCTGACATCACACTCTGCCTTAAAACTCCTCGGCTGAACTTTCAGTTTGGAAGAATGAAGTTCTGGAGATGGATGGTGGTGATGGTTGCAAAACAACACGAATGTACTTAATGATGCTGAACCTTCAGTGTATACTTTTAAAAATGGTTGAAATGGTCAATTTTATGTTATGTACACTTTACCACGATTTCTTAAAAATCTCCTGTTAGGATAAGATCCAAGCTCCTCGGCTCCTCACGGTTTGCCCCCACCTTCTCCCTCTCTTACCAGCCTTCTGCCTGCAATGCTCTTCCCCCAACTCCACCTCTTCAACTCTAGTTTATTCTTCCAGTGTCCAACTCAAATGTGCATTCCTCTGGGATGCCTGCCCTGGCCACCTTCTTCCCCTCCACTGCAGTATTGAGCACACAGTGACGCCTATGTCCTTGCTCATATTTGCCTGGGAAGTCCCTGAGGAGAAGGACCAGGTCAGGTTCACTTCTATGTTCAACACAAAGTACAGGGAAAGTGCAGTGGACTGAATGGGAGTATGCAAGCATATTGTGAATAGAGGGAGAGCCAGCCAATATCCCTGAAGATGAGTGCAAGTTGGGGAAAGGGCCAGGTTAATCTCACCTGCTGCTCACCAGGCAGTATTTCTGAAAAGAGAGAAAAAGAGAATGGAAGTGAAGCAGGAAGGGGAGACACTGGAGACTTCTGAAAACGGGGTAGACCACGAAGAATGCTGAGTGTGGGGTCAGGAAGAATCAGAAAAGCCAAAAGAAACCCAGAATTCAAGACCACTCCTAGCCCTTTATCTCTGTGTAAATTAGAAAAAGGTACCCCCTCCCTCAAGAAACTAATTCCACCTGACAGAAGATTGTCCTAATAAATATGCCAACCTACAACATTTATGATAGGAAGAGTGACTGCTTAAAGTGTCCTTGTGCAGTGCCCAACCTAAACAACCATAACAGTCCTGGGGCCCACCCCTCTTCCATGCCCCCTGGCTTGTCCCTGCCCGTCTCCGGACCTCAGGGGTGAGATTCGACAATAGAGTAAGGTCTCTGGGGCCTGAACCCTGGCTGAGGGGCAGAGATAGAAGGTCATCCAGTGCTCACCATGAGGAACTCAGTCTGTGGCTTGTCCGCCACCTCCTCCAACACCTTCTCCATCTGCCGCAGCTGCTCCAGGTAAGAGTTCAGACTCCCCAGCTCCCGCCGCAAGGCAACCCCTGCCTCACCCCGCACACGCTCAGCCTCATGGTCCAAAGAGCCTTCCAGTGCATTCAGGAACACCCGCATTTTGCCCAGCTGCTCCCCCACCGCACCCCGGAACTGACGCACTGTCTCCTGTGGGGGCAGACAGGCAAAAGCATTTTGGTAGGGGATCCCCAGTCTGAACCCCCAGTCCCCGGACTCTGTTATGCTGAGCCTCTCACCTCCACCTCCATCAGCTGATGCTCCAACACAGCCACATTCTTCTCCTTGCGCATACATGCCTCCTGCAGCTGCAGCTTCTGCTGTGGGAGCTGTGTCTGGAGTGTGAGACATAAAGAAGTGATGCTGCTGCCCCCCCAAACCCACACATCCCACCCTAAACCTGCCCTCTACGGCTCAGCTTCAATGCCAGCTCCTCCTCCAGCCAAGTTGACATCTTACCATTCCCCAAATCTACCTGCAGGTCTCTAGGCCCTTGCCAGTACCGGTCCTGATGTCTAGAATGCTTTACCTTCTCATTGTCTGTTTAGGTTAAATTCTCCCTAGCCCAATCCCATCCCCTCAGCAGTAAGCCCCCCCAGCACAGATCTTTGTCAGGATGACAAGCACAAATGTGGCTGGGTCTCCTCCACCACAGCTCAGCACACAGCAGTCTTCAGGGGGTGAGCACAGGATGTGTGAAGAAGAAATGCAACCTCCTCCTATTCCTGGGCTGCACCACATACTTAAAAGCAGAATATTAGCAAAACACCTCAATCAGCCTCCCTACACACCAAGCTCTGGGGGCAGGCAATTTATGTCTGATGCAGCAACCACTCCAACATATCTATGCGCAAGATCCTACTCCAGACCTGTTCGTTTATGACTCTTGAAATGCAGGTTGTTGGGGAGCTGCTAAAACCTCCTGCCAAAGCCAGCCTTTGCTGGAAGGCACATGGTTCTGGACTCAGATGGTTCCAGTCCTGCCTCCATGGTTTCCAACCTCAGTTTTCTCTTCTGCAGAATGGGAACAGTCATCGCACCTCACCTTTGATTGCCCAAATTGGCAGCCTACTCCCACGCTCCCTCAGGAAAACTGGGAGACTCAGGAGGCGCTGTTTGCTGTTAAGTGCCCGCCCAGCGGGAGCCACAGGATTGAACCAAGGGTTCCCCTGGCCAGCTGCCAGGACAATCTCCTCCCTGGAACGTCCTCCCGGGCGACAGCCCCGCCTGCTGCAGGACAGGGCGGGCCCGGTGGCTCAAGGCGCGGGGCCATCGTAGGTTCAGAGGAGGCAGAGCTGAGCCATGGGGAAGAAGCGCGACGCCATCCTGGAGGCGCTAGAGAACCTGACGGCGGATGAGCTCAAGAAGTTCAAGTTGAAGCTGGGAGCTGCGCCGCTGCGCCAAGGCTTTCGGAACATTCCGCGTGGGGCGCTCGGGCCGCTGGACGCCGTGGACCTCACTGACAAGCTGGTCGCCTTCTACTGCGAAGACTACGGCGCTGAGCTCACCGCAGTCGTGCTGCGCGACATAGGCATGCAGGAAGAGGCAGAACGGCTTCAGGGGGTCGCGTGAGTCTCCCGCGCCCCGCACATGCCATTCAACCACTTTGGAGTCTTGGCCCATGGTCAAGTCTGGATCCCCTCTTCCTCGCCAAGGAACCTCGCCAGCCTTCCTGTCCCCTTCCTCCTTCAGGCTCCTTCCTGGGGTCCCCACTTCAGACCACTAGCTGGCCCCTCCCTCTGGCTTAGGGCTGAGTTGATGCGGAGTCCGGCCCCACCTGCCCCCTGGAGGCTCCTGGGACTCCTGGTGCCCTGTCCCATTTCAAGTACTCTGTTCTCTCTTCGCAGATAAAGACGGATGAGGTTGGAAGTCATGCAGTTTTCAGCAGAGGTGAGCCTGGATTGGGAGGGCTCCTGGGAGAAGGAGGCTCCTGCATTGGGCTAGGAGACAACCGGCCAGCTCCAGGCTGGACTGGCACGTCAGGAGTGGGAGGGAAGGCGAGGCTGGTCTGGGGGCCTCGAATACTAGCCTGAGGACTGAGGTCTCCACCCTCCAGGAGTCTAGGGCCAAGAAGTGCAGGGCAACACTTGTTTGTGTGCAAAGAAAACCCGCAGAAGCTCACCTCGACCACCAGTGGTGAGAAGACAATGGCAGCTTCTCCACCGCGGGGACCAAGGACCAATCCATGCCTCCAAAACCCGCCTCCTCCCATCCCTGAACCTGTCATTTATTCTTCCACAGCCCAATAAATGCTTCATGACAGATATCCCTGGGCCTTTGTAGCCACATACCCTCCTGTAGCTACCTGCATGTGATTTGCCACACGTATGGCATGGGCAAGCTATGGGAATCGCAAACCTTGGGCCGTGCACAACTATGTGTGGGCTCTGGAAGCGTTCTCAACCAGAAAAACAAATCTGGACTTGGGACTCGTGCCAACGTGAGCCTGCGCACAGAGCTTAGTGCCCAGGTGTGCCTTGCCCGCCCCGCCTCCCCTTCAGTTAGGCCCCATCTCATGACGCTCAGGCCCGCACAAGTTGGGCAGCTCGAGGAGCGAATGGGCCTCTGCAGAACAGCTGCGCTGCCAGAGCCAGCCCCCGCCCGGGGCTCCTGGCCACACCCAAGCCCCGCCCCTCCAGTCTTCCCTGTGCCCAAGCTCCGCCACAGTGCTCACGCTCACTCGCCGGGGGCCGGGATTCAGTCCTCCGCTCCGCCTCCCGCTCATCCCGGCTCAGTGGCTGCTCCCCTACATCTCCGGGAGCGTCCCAGCGGCTGAGCCCGGGAAATCTAGGTTTGTGCCGCTCCCATCCCACCAGAGCCCGCCTCTCCGCACCTCTTCAAGTCTCCCCTCTCCTCCGGTTCCCGCCTCCAGCTCGTCAGCCCCGCACATTCCCTAACTGCTTCCCTCCGCTCGCGTTCCCGGAAACTCCAGGCGCCCGGGGCCCTGAAGCTCAGAATCCAAGTAAATACAGCAACCCCCTGATGGGCCAGGCCCCGCCTCATCCAATCCCATCCAACCCGACCCCCGCCGGAGGGCGCCAGGATCCCACACCTTAAGGCGTGCATGGGCTTCAGCGGCGGGCAGCAGGCGGTGGCCCCGGTGCGAGCCCAACGAGGCGCACACGCCGCACACGAGCGCGCGGTCCTGCTCGCAGTAGATGCTGAGCGGGTCTAGGTGCTCCTCGCAGTGGCCCTGCGGCACCTGCGCCAGCCCCTCCACCAGACGCGCCAGCTGCAGGTTGGTGCTGAGCGCTTGCGGCCGCGTGGGCGCCTGACAGCATGGGCAGGGCGCTGTGCCGTCCGCCGCCGGCTCCCCTGCCGCGCGGCTCAAGCAGGCGCGGCAGAAGCTGTGGCCGCACTCGGCGGTCACTGGCGCGTCGAACAGCTGCAAGCACAGCGGGCAGGACAGCTCCTGGTGCAGGAGGCCGGGCGCAGCCGACATGGTGGGCCTGAGTAGAAGGGAAACCATTCAAGGAGGCTCAGCAGGGCTGCAAACCCTGCCCAGCCCCAGCCCCTGGCCGGGTCTGCAGCCTCACAAGGAGAAGCCCCAGCCTATTAAGACCTCAGATCCCACACGGGAAGGGACCCTGGTTCTGGCCAAGGAGAAAGGGGGACTCTGTCTCAATCCCAAAACTATCTCAACTGCAGTTCTCAGCCCCAGTCCCCAAAATATTTCCTATTAGGGACAGTCTCAACCCCAATTTCTAAACAGGAGCCCGGGTTGCAAACACAGTCTTACCCACTGTCCATCCCGTCTTAGCCCCAAATTCTCCAGAGCCTCTACCCCCTAGCTTCTCACCTCTCCAGGATCGCCAGCCCTCCCCTCCCCCATTTCTTCAAGCCCACAGGATCCACAGGACTCACAGGTCTAGTTGGAGATCTTGGGCAAAAAGAGACTCCCAGGAGTCTCCAAGTCAGGCCTAACTAACCGAACGCCGGGTCAGAGCTGTGTCTGAAGATAGGTTAGCAGCAAGCAGCAATCTCAGAGCAAAGACAGGGGACTCAGGGGCAGCTATCAGTAGACACGACCGGAATAACCCACAGTGAATAGCAGACAGACCCTCCCAGACTGAGCCCTGGCCCTAGAACTATATTTAGCTGCCCTCCCACCTCTTCCATCATTTCTGGAAACCATTCTAAAAGTGAGGACTTAAGTGGTCAGAGAGCAAGTATCACATGTCGAGGCCACCTGTCCTGGCTCATCACACGGTCCCTTCTCCTGCCCAGTCTGGAGCCAGAACTCAGAACCAGCAGGAGACAGGGCCTCTCATACCACAAAGAAAACAAAAACATGGTTGGGAGGAGTCCTCCCTTTCTCCTCCACCCCCACCTCCACACTCTTCAGCCTCCCCTTTCCCTGAGTGTGGCCCCTCCTCAGCTTGTCACTCACTTATTTCCCAAGCTATGGCTCTCCAGGGTCACACTGACAGTATTATCTCCACCTTCAACCCTTCTCCCACCCTGAAAGGTTTTCTTCCTCCATAGCTGAGGGGAGAGAGTCTTTTTTCTGAAGGTCTCTCCAGTACCCAGCACAAGCCCTAGAGCAAAGTGGGCCTTCCTAAATGCTTGAAAAAAAAATTATAGAGGGACAGTTGAATGAATGAATAAACTGAATCCAGAGACTGTAGCCCAGAAGTTGATTCTGCCCTGGGAGCCTCAAGCCTTCTTTTATGCTTATCCTTCAAATCTGGTTAAATTTCATTCAGAATAAAAATCAAAGTCCTCATTGTGACCTACAAGGCCCTACCCAATCTGACTCCATTTACCTCTCACTCCCCCACCCCACCCCCACCCCCTTGGCCTTTGCACTTGCTATCTCCTCTGCCTGGAAAACTCTTTCAAACTCAGGTATTAATGGTTCCTTCCATGTCCTCCCTCAGATCTTTACCCAATGTCACCTTTTCAATGAGGCTTTTCTTAACTCTGATTTTAAATCTCACCTCTCCCTTTCTTGCTTTACTTTTCTTCATAATATTTATCACCATCTGACATGCAATATGTTGAACTTGGTTTTTTTTGTCTGTCTCCTCCTACTAGAATATAAATTTGTTCACTGCTTGTCTCCAACTTAAAAGTGTGTGGCACATGGTAAGTGCTCAATAAATGCCCAACAAATGAATAAACACACAAATTCACTTTGTCCTCTTTTGGCCTCCCAGTCACATTTTCTCTCAGCTTCCCTCAGCCTTTACCTGGATTTGCTCTTTCTCTCTCGACCACTCCCTGTCTCTGTTTCATTTCAGTCTCTTAATTAATTTCCTCTTGGACGCCCTGCCTCTCTAGGCTTTTTAATGTTTGTGTTTATTCATTTTATCCCAAATGTGCACACAGGTGTTCTGGATCAGGGACAGACTTCTCATTAAATACCTCACAGTAAACAGAAAATGTTTCGGCCCCCTGTGCCCTAGGATGATATGACAATAGCCACGTCCATTATCCTATGAGAGTAGTCAGACACCCCATAGGTGAGCAACAAGAACTATTTTTCTTGCTTATAAAGGGGAAGGAGGAGGGAGAAGGTGAGGCTGGTCCCCTAGAGGAGTTTGGGGGCCTCGAATACTGTCCCCCTCCTCTCCTTAAAGGTCTTCATACTCCAACTCTTTGGCAGGTAAATAAATCTCCCCTGGAGTCAGATAATTCCTTGTATATCTTGGCTTTTATGACAAGTCTCTAAGTCCTGGGACTCATTTCTTCTTGAACGCTTAAAGCTCTTGCATGTTGCATACTGGCCTGCTTAGGAAGCTACTCCAGGCTCCTGGCACCTTGGGGACTTAACCTAGGAACTTTGTTCAGGCTATAATCATTTGAGCCTCTCAGGAAGAGATAAAAGAAGTTTTATTATTCTTTTGGATCAGAGCAATTATCTGTACAAATGACTCCAGGTTTGATTCTCATGGTATGTGAAAAGTCTCAGGAAGCTCGAGCTTTTTACTGGAACCCTGATAATTTCGGGTAGTTTGATTTCCCCACTCCAAGTCTCTGCCATTTTTGATGGTTCAGACTTTGCCTTGGGTTAACACACAAGAAGGGGGTAGGGATAAGAGCGTATCTAGAGCTGATATCTGAAACCACAAACCACTTCACTCTGGCTCAGAAAAGTAAACACCCCAAATGTAAATCTCATCTAGAGTTTCCATCACTGCCAGGCTGGGACTAAAGGTTTTGGTCAATAGGAGTGGGTATCCAGGACAGGGGGGTGACAGTCAACTCAATCACTCTCTGTAGATGGGCCAGGTCTGACCTCTGACTCACAGAAGGAACACTGATTGTCTACAGCAGATTAGAGGACAAGGAGGGGCCAGAAACCATGTCTAAGGAAGGAGAAGGTGAGGACAAGTGTCACTGACCTTAGACAGAGCTCTGGAACCCAGAGCTCAGAGGGGGCAGATTTCAGCTTGTCCTAAGGAAGAGCTTCCTAACATCTGGAATGATAAGTGCAGTGGGAGACGAGAGCCCCTTGTATTGGATAAATGCAGAAAGAAGCCAGAAATCTCCCAGTCAAAGCCACTGCAGAAGCAGGTCCTGAATCCTGACATCATGAGCTCATGCTAATTACCCTCAGGAAATTCACCTATCTCTCTGGGCTTCAGCATCTTCAGCTACATTATGAGGATAAGTAGGATAATAATACTATCCCTGTAGAGCTGTCATGAGAATTAAACTAGATAATATAATAAACACAAGGGATGGTGTGCTGGCATTAAATCACTGGCTTAGGAAGCAGCGATTGACTCTGCTC